TATATCATCAATGAACTTGATTTAATGTTAACCTAGAAATAACAATTTCACACATAAATCGTTCAAATTGAAGAAATAAATGGAATCAACAATAAAAAAAAAAATAAGAAAACTGAACGTAAAAGATATATCAAATGTAAATTCTGTGTGAAAAGTATAAACATGTACTTAACTTTCCTACCAATAATCTTGTATTCAAAGTGTACAAACAGTACATTTCAGATAAATAACAAAACTTGTGAAACAAATTAAATAGGGATACTAGCACTGTAAAAACAGTACATTTCAGATAGATACAGAACTTGTGAAATAAACTAAATAGGGATACTAACACTATTGTTTAATATCAAGCATCTCAGTTTTTTTTTGTTTTTTTTTTTTTTTTCTTTTTTTTTTTTTTTTTTTTTTTTTTAAATAAATATGTATTGAAATCTTACGAGATAGTTCAAACTTAGCACTGCACATCAACACAAAATACAGAATAAGAGCAATAGCATGTACTTTATAAATGTAAAATGATAAATTGTAAGAGGACTGAAATTTTCATAGGGAGAATCCATCAACATGTTAATTACTCTGTCAATCGGACTGGTGTATTCTCTTGAATGAGAATAACTTTTTTATTTCTCAATGAAATTTTGCCAGTGTGGTATTATTTTGTTTGCAATAGCATGTACTTTCTAAATGTAAAATGATAAATTATAAGAGGACTAAAATTTTCATAGGGAGAATCCATCATCATGTATTACTCTGTCAATCGGACTGGTGTGTTCTCTTGAATGAGCATAACTTTTTTATTTCTCAATGAAATTTTGCCAGTTTGGTATTATTTTGCTTGCAATAGCAGGTACTTTTTAAATGTAAAATGATAAATTGTAAGAGGACTGAAATTTTCATAGGGAGAATCCATCATCATGTCATATTACTCCGATAATTGTACTTAAGTCTGGTGTGTTCTCTTGAATGAGCATAACTTTTTTATTCCTCAATGAAATTTTGCCAGTTTGGTATTATTTTGCTTGCAATAGCATGTACTTTCTAAATGTAAAATGATAAATTGTAAGAGGACTAAAATTTTCATAGGGAGAATCCATCATAATGCTATACTCTGTCAATCGCACTGGTGTGTTCTCTTGAATGAGCATAACTTTTTTTTTGTTCTAAATGAAATTTTGCCAGTTTGGTACTATTTTGCTTGCAATAGCATGTACTTTTTAAATGTAAAATGATAAATTGTAAGAGGACTGAAATTTTCATAGGGAGAATCCATCATCATGTCATATTACTCCGATAATTGTACTTAAGTCTGGTGTGTTCTCTTGAATGAGCATAACATTTTTATTTCTCAATGAAATTTTGCCAATTTGGTATCATTTTGCTTGCAATAGCATGTATTTTCTAATTGTAAAATGATAAATTCAAAGAGTACTGAAATTTTCATAGGGAGAATCCATCATAATGCTATACTCTGTCAATCGCACTGGTGTGTTCTCTTGAATGAGCATAACTTTTTTTTTGTTCTCAATGAAATTTTGCCAGTTTGGTATTATTTTGCTCGCAATCATCAATGGCATGTACTTTTTAAATGTAAATTGATAAATTGAAAGAGTACTGAAATTTTCATAGGGAGAATCCATCATCGTGTTATACTCTGTCAATCGCACTGGTGTGTTTTCTTGAATTAGCATAACTTTTTATTCCTCAATGAAATTTTGCCAGTTTGATATTATTTTGATCGCAATAGCATGTACTTTTTAAATGTAAAATGTTAAATTGTAAAAGGACTGAAATTTTCATAGGGAGAATCCATCATCATGTCATATTAATCCGATAATTGTACTTAAGTCTGGTGTGTTCTCTTGAATGAGCATAACTTTTTTATTTCTCAATGAAATTTTGCCAATTTGATATTATTTTGCTTGCAATAGCATGTATTTTCTAAATATAAAATGATAAATTGAAAGAGTACTGAAATTTTCATAGGGAGAATCCATCATCATGTGATACTCTGTCAATCGGACTGGTGTGTTCTCTTGAATGAGCATAACTTTTTTATTCCTCAATGAAATTTTGCCAGTTTGGTATTATTTTGCTTGCAATAGCATGTACTTTCTAAATGTAAAATGATGAATTGTAAGAGGACTGAAATTTTCATAGGGAGAATCCATCATCATGTTATACTCTGTCAATCGGAATGGTGTGTTCTCTTGAATGAGCATAACTTTTTTATTTTTTTATGAAATTTTGCCAATTTGATATTATTTTGCTTGCAATAGCATGTACTTTCTAAATGTAAAATGATAAATTGTAAGAGGACTGAAATTTTCATAGGGAGAATCCATCATCATGCCAAATTTCTCTGTTAATCGTACTGCTGTGTTCTCTTGAATGGTCATAACTTTTTTATTTCTCAATGAAATTTTGCCAATTTGGTATTATTTTGCTTGCAATAGCATGTACTTTCTAAATGTAAAATGATAAATAGAAAGAGTTAGGAGTGAAATTTTCAAAGGGAAAGAATTAAAGAGATAAAAACAATTTCCATTCTCCTGTAGGACAATATGTTCTATAAAACATTATGATAGAGAACTTTTAATCCTATTTGTGACAATTATGGAACTTCTTGTCCCATTTCACAACTTATGGGATAAAAAATCCCATGTAAGGTTAAAAATGGGAATTTTGATTCTATAGGAGAAAAAATCCCACAGAACTCATTTTTCTCCCACAGAATAATGGTGGGATATTGGTTAGGAGAGAAAATCCCACCATAATCCCATGGGATTTCTTGATTTCAGGTGTAATATCTTTTAAACTGGAAGATATTCAGGTGTGAAGGTTAGTTCATGTTGTGCGATTAAAAAAATCCCACCGGATGACATAAATTTTTTCTATGTATCTTTGGAAAAGTGGTTGGCGAAAGTCCGGACAAATGTCGTGTCCGGAGTTAAATGTCGCACTGTTTTATGCACAATCTTAACCCGTCAATAGTTTTTTTTTTTTTGATAATTTTATTTTGTTCTGATTGAAAAAAAAGTTCTCATACAAAGAGAAAATGTTATTTCAAACAGCTGCAAACTACACACGGTCGTCCTGCCACAACATAAACAAGGTATAGCGGTCAGTGAAAAAGATAATAGGTGTCATGACCGTATACCCCGAGTTAATTACTGGTAAACATCAATGGCTTTGATGTTGTTTCAGAACCGTGTTAGGGTTTTGAAAACCGATTTTTTAAATCAAAACAAAGTATCAAAAATGTAAATGACAGATTAATATTGTGCATAATGAGACGATTATTTTGATATCCATCATGGACTTAAAGTAATAGAAAATCGTTTAAATATGCTAATAAAATACTTTGTAGCATATTTCAGCAAATAAACAAAATAAAACTAATAAAACAAATTTTGGGGGTATAAATTTATTTCTTTATTTATTCTTAATTCGGTCGATTTGTAGATTTATTCACATAAGAAAATAAATGAATAAAGTAGATTTTTAGTTTCTTTAATAATTTTTATTTATTGAATAGACATTTATTTTATTAATGCATTTATATATCATTGCTTTCAATTAATTTTTTATTCATTTAATTCTTTGGGAAAACAAAATATCCCACGCATGGATTTGATAATGTATTCCCAAATGTTTCAATCTAGTTCTTTTACAAAGACAGTTATTACGCTCAAAGATGTTTCAAAGTAGATCAAATAAAAAATGACAAAGTTTATAAATATATATAAAAGGTTCATAAACCACAATGTATATGCCGTCTACCATCACAAGATGAAATAAATTGGTAATTTATTTCTTCTTTAGAATGATGCAATTCTCTGCCGTTCTCCCCCCGAAATGCTACCAAACTAAAAAAATCACATTGATACAAGTGATAGAAACTAAATACAACTCTGATGGGCCAGTTGGCTTAAAGAAATAAAGAAACTGAAACTGAAACTAAATTACAGGGGATTTAGTTAAGCATTTAAAAATGTGTTAACTTTTTACTAAGTCTATATTTTCAAAATAATACTTAAAGTTTTCAAGACTATATCATTTTCCACTCTTAAATGCAACAAAAATATTTTTTAAACTTCTTTTCTTGGCCAAAATAAATGTCAGGGGACGACAGGGAGTAGACAGGGAAGGCAGGGACAACGACAGGGGACGACAGGGACTGGACAGGGAGATCAGAGAATGTCAGGGGACGACAGGGAGTAGACAGGGAAGGCAGGGACAACGACAGGGGACGACAGGGACTGGACAGGGAGAGCAGGGACAACGTCAGGGGATCATAGGAGAAAGTCAGGGAGAGACAGGAAAATGTCAGGGACTGACAGGGGGACAACAGGGGATTTTTTGGAATCTAAGGGGATATTTAATTCAGTAGTGCTTGATTCTTGATGATCTTGTAGAATGCTGTTAGTGTATTTTTCTCTATGCATACAGTAATTGGTATAGCCCCCAGGAGTGAGTACACAGCAATGATAGGAGTTTTTACTGATAGCCCTTGGATCTGTTTCAGTAACTTTCTCTCATAAAGGAGCAGTTCTTGTTCTTCGCTTCTAGATAGTATGACAGCCTCTAATCCATATGTCATTCTTGGTCTGCAGAATGTGGTGTAGATCTTATAAGAGACTTTAGGATTGATACCATTTTTTCCATGCAGTCCTGCCCCAAGTAGTGCATACATCGTTCTTCTGCCCAGTTGGATTCTACTTTGGATGTCGTTTTTGCCATTTGATGATCTTATCAATCCAACATGTTTTGTCATTTCCACTTCTTCTATCTCCTTGTCACCCAAAGTCCAGGTCTGGGTTGGTCTGTTCTTGTGCGCGTTTATTATTATAACGTCGCTTTTAGAAGAGTTGATGGTGACTTTATCCCGCTTGGTTTCATTGTGAACGATATGTAGCGCTTGTTGTTTGCCAGTTAAGAGAGCCTTGGAAGACGACGAGAGCTTTGGGAAAGTTATCGTTTGTTGCCCTCTTGTTTCGTTAATGCAGGATCAGGTCAACAAGCTCTCTTCTCTTGGACTGATTACGGCAGCTTTTAAAGGTTTGTCTTTAAATTATGATTACCGCTAGGCATATTGTCGTGTAAAGAGTTCTGTTACCAAGTAAAAATAGTATATTTGAATCTTGATTCTTGAACATTTATCACAGTGCAGTATTCAGCAGCTTTTAATATGGAAAAATCTAAGTAAACTTAATGATATGTGTTGAGACAATAATTAGTATAATAACATCTTATTGCTGTGTATGATTGATAGACAATGATCATGTTGACACTGACAATTTTTCTCTCACTTATTTGCATTTTTTCATATTTGAATAAGTTGAACAGCTTATTAAATATAGCAAATTTGTATAGCTTTCTAAAGCTAAATACTTTTTCACACTACATGTCTATAGATGTAAATGTATATAGATATAGATATAAATATTGTGCCAGACTTGTTTAAGTCCATTGAGGTGCAGTCAGTTTAACAATTAGATTTACTGACTATGCATGCAGTCAGGTCATCAGGACATTATCAGGTACCTAATTATTACACTGCCAATGTAAACGTAAAGGTTATTAGTTTATTTTACATGTATACACAGTGCTAAAATGGCAAGAGGACCTAATACATTAATAAGAAAGATAGGGCCTATTTTTGGCTCTTGTTGGTGCTATTAGAGAGGTTAAGCATTTGACCGTGTACGTCTACTTGTACGTGTAAACCTAGAAGTGATTTTACACGTACGCGTAACTAATGTCGTGTTCTGTTTAACAAATTGAACGTGTACCGGTACGTGTAAAACGTCATTTCAACATGTCACTTTACAATCCATTGTATCAAATAAATCAATGACTTTAAGTAAAAAAGATACATTGGATAATCGTAATAAACAGTCAACTTCATACTAAATACAGACTGAAAAATATTTATTCCATAGTTTGAGTTTAAGAAGCTACAAGTTTACACCAACGTGTAGTTGCAAATCTACACGTTGTGAACAACTTGTAGAATTACGCGGTATGCAAAACTGATGACGTAAATCACATCTAATTAGGGGATTTCCCTAGCTACACGTACACGGTCATCTGCTTAACCTCTCTATTATCATTAATGGCTACTGAATTAACAATTTAGTGGTTGTTATAGGCAAAGACAAAGAGACAGATGACTTGATAGAAGCTGGAAAAGTTGATATAATTTATGCATCACCAGAGTCCTTGGTTGGAGATAGCCGTTGGAGACAGACCCTTCAAAAACTGCATGTAACTGCAGTTGTAGTTGATGAATTCCATACAGTAGCCACCTGGCAAGTCTTTTCTATTTATTTTAAATAAATTATAAAATTTTATAATGAGGATAAGGAGGAATAAAAGCATTGATGTTTAAGTTTGGTAAAATTTAGGTTCTCCTGGGCCTCAGGAAGTCTATTCCTCTTAAAAATTTAATTTAATTTTCACTTTCATATTAACACCAGCAAGTATAAAAAATAAGGAAATTCTGTAATTAAAACATTTTAAAACTCTTATTTCAAATTTAGGGGTGGTCTAGAAGCAGAAAAAGAAGAAAAGGTCTTCAGAAGGTGGTTTCGACACATTGGAGAAATACGGTCATATTTTCCGGAGGCATCTGTTCTGGCACTAAGTGCTACCTGTACGAACACAATTAAGAAAAGGGTCACAGAAGTTCTAGGATTAAAGGAGTATGAGTATATCACAGTTTCCCCAAACCAAGAAAACATAAAATATATTGTGAAAAAGGTGGAGCAGAATATTGAGTCTTCATTGGTATGGATTGTGGACGCCATTTCCGAGATGAAGGAGAACTTTCCCCGAACAATAATATATTGTAAATCAATAAGAGACGTTGGACAAATTTACAATTTTCTTGCAACTGAATTGTCTAATATTCACAATATCAATGAAATGATAGAAATGTTTCATTCAGAAACTTCTGAGGAAAAGAAAAAAACTACAATTGAAAATTTAACAAAGGAGAGTCAATTGCGGGTTGTTGTTGCCACCAGTGCATTAGGAATGGGAGTAAATGTTTCATCGTGCCACAATGTTATAATATATGGGCCTCTCAAAAGTTTGATAGATTTCATCCAGGAAACTGGGCGAGTTGGACGAGATGGGCAACACTCATGTGCCATTTTATTATATTACGGACAGCAATTGCGAAATGTTGACCAGGATGTAAAAACATATGTAACATCAACAGAGTGCAGAAGAATTCAATTACTTAAAACATTTTTATCAGACAAGGAATTAAAATCTGTGCAAAATACTGGAAAACATACTTGTTGTGACATTTGTGCAACAGTTTGTTCATGCAATTCCTGTTCTCTAACAGTATTGGAGAAAGCAGTAAGAAATCTGTCTTATGACAGAGTTGAAGACACATTGGATTCCTCCAGTGACAGTGATACTTTGTCATATGAGTATGAATCAGGTGATGATGACCTTACTGAAATGAATTAAATGATGCACTTCTGAACTCTGTTTTTGTTTACTTTGTAGGATGGATCTAGCACATTCTACATTTTTGTTTTGCTTAAATTCCTGCTATATCTTTGGTATTTATTTAGAACCGGTACATTTATAGTCATTAATGCATCAAAAGTTGATAAGCTAAAATAAAAGGTGTGTAGGATGTGTGCTGGATCTCTCCCCTTTTTTAGGTCACCAGACCCCGAGATCATGCAACATCTTAAGCTTGAGTCAAAATTTTCATGTACTAAACCCTTGTAGAATTCAAGCATACCAAAATCCAAATATTTTCCAATATTGTTCCACAAAAGTTTTCTTGTCTGCAAATTTCGAGATAAATTCAACATCAAATCAGGATTTTATAGTTGATTAAAATTTTTGACTTAAGTCCAATTTCGTTTCATGATCCTGGGGCCCGAGTCACTCAGGTGACCTATTACTATCTGTTTCCGTCTGTCGTCATAAACTTTAAATTTTTAGCTGCTTCTCTGGAACCAGGGAACCAATGTCAATCAAATTTGGCCTCTGGTTTAAAACACAAACCAAAAATAATGGTTGGAAATTTGTTAAATGATGCTCAAGTGACCTATAAGGCCCATGGGCCTCTTGTTTAAGTAAGATGAACAAGTTCTTAAGATATCCATATTTATTCTTTCCAATTGTTAAAATAAAAATTGAGCATGTTGCGTAACATGATTGCAAATGATTTTTTTTTTACCAAAAACAAATATACTCCATTATGCTATTTTACAATATATGCATTTACTTAATACATTTTACATGTTGAAATCTTTCAACCACTTTTCATTTGAATGCAGCTTACAAGAAAGGTGAAATAAATCTAAAGTAAGTCTCAGGAAAAAAATTCCTTAAATGTATTTTAAAAGCCATAATGATAATTATAATTTTCTGTTCCTTAATCGACGGAATGGTAGCAGAGGTTTGTGTCTGTAAATCATGTTCACTAACTGTTTGTGACAGTCTGAAAACGGGTTGCTGTTTTGAACAAGTTGGCGACACTTGAGCTTCCGTCCTTCGTGATAGGAAAATCCATCAATGTCAAAGAGATCTACAATGATCTTCTGTACATCAGATTTGTAAGATGGGATGTTGTGAAAGCCTTTCCGTTTGTGAATATCACTGATCATGTCCAGATTTTTTACTGCTTTGATAAGAAGTGGAAACTGTTTTGAATGTGCTATAATGCTTTCTTTCGACTGAAATCCAGAACAAGTGTTCTTTGTGTCTCTATTGACTAGTTCTACATACTCATCAAGGGCCATGTTAGAGTTTTTTCCACCAGATAAATTTATGAATCTGTTTGCAATTAGTCTCTCTGTTTGAAGAGAAGGCAAGGTTCCTGAAACCAGAGAAGTTAAATGGATGCTTCCAATGAGTTATTTTGTCTTGTGCGTTTTGTTGTACAATGGGGTCTCATATTTAGCGGAGCGAACAGATCGGTTGCCATCTGCCATGTCCACTGCAGAATCGAGATTCCTGTGTAATGCTGCAAGGCGAAAAAGTGCTAGTAAATAATCATGCAGTTCATCTTGCTTAAGGCTTGAAGCAGTACTCTTTCTTTCAGATGGTTTGGAATGGCCATGAATTCCTTTTTCATGTGATTCCGCACTTCTAAGGTGACTGTAAGTTTTTCCACAGTAATGGCAGGAAAATCGTCCATCTTGAAAATTTGCAAACCAGTAATTTTCTTCATGATCTGAATCAGTCAATTTTTGTCTTAAGTCTTCAAACAAATCACCATCTCCAAAAAACCATTTCTTTACAATTCGTTCACAAATGTTATTTAGCCACTGGATTTTTTGGTCTTTATTCCATGTGCAAAATTCATCAGGTAATGATACACTCTCTTCTGAGTTGTGAATCCCTAGCTCTTGTAAAAATAATACACAGCACATAGCATCAAATACAGTGCGATACAGCATTTTATATCCCCTGTAAGAATTTTTAACTTTTCCTTTGACATTGCGTGCATTTAAAATGTTCTTGTAATAGTACATTGTCCCACGGTCACTTGCTGATTGAGTGCTATATGTTTGCATAACTATTGCCTGCAAATTTTAGAAATAAAAATTATATAAATGTCTTGGCTGTTTCTTTTACAGCATCTACTTTACATGTTTAAATTATTAACAGGTTAACCTGAGGTATTTTTCATTAAAAGAATCCTGAGCATTTACATTTTGTATTCCTTTAAAACATGATATTGAAATATTACCTCAAGGAAGTTCATTAGCCGGTGGAAATCTTCAATTTTAGAAATGAATCCTTCCAATTTTTCTAAGGCAGTTTCATTATTTGTCATGGCTTCTTGGGCACTCTGTATTCTTTCATCTGTTAATCTGTCTCCTATAGGAGATGAATTAATAAATATCAGCATTCCATTAATATGTTAAAGCATTACCAAAGAATGTTGTTATAATAATGTACCATTGTAGTGATTTAGTTTAGCAGAGGAGGATGTGTTTCATTGACTTTCTATAACTTAGATTAATCACCAAAATGTTAAAAATTTAAAGCAGATTTTAAAGCATTCAAAACCAATCTTGACAGACGGAATGTCATTTTACCTGTACAAAACTTAAAATAATTTTTTTTCTGTGTATTTACATCAAACTTGTATAAATTACTCATAAATGTAAATACAATAAATGTGGATAATTTGTTCCAAACGTGTTAGTACATTCCTTTTTAATATATTCTAAATTACCTCCAAAGAACACTTCTTCCACAATTTCTCCTGCATCATCTGTGGGTACATACTTCTTTGATGGCTCTTTTAGTAGTCTGATAACATCCTGAGTGACCATTTCATTGCAATCAAATAGCCCCAAAGGATACTGTGCAAAGAACATGTACATGTATTAAAGTTATGCTTTTCTATAGAAAATATGATATAAAATACATATAATCCATACATAAAGTCTTACCTGTTCTGTTTTTATTCCTGAGTAATTGCTGTATTTGTGTTGCAAATGCTTAGGGTAAATTGATACAAAACTGTCATTCATCTGGTCAATATTAGCAATGACTGAACTTGCAACAAGGAAAGTAAGCTCATGGAGAAGAATATCCTGATCCTCACTGGAGGGTATGAAATTCACAGGATTCAGGTCTGAAATATCAATGAGCTGTGAGTCAGTGTCCACCACACAATTCACTCTGTCAAGGACTCCAATGACCTGAAACAAGTGCAAGGACAATGTTTTGTCTTGAGACGTTCTGTAAGAAGGAATGATATTTCTGTCCCAATTGTCCCCTATGAGTTGGTATTTTGTTTGCCCTCCTCGACTCCATTCTTCTTTGTACTTGAGTAATTCCTCATCTAAAATTGCATCCCAAGAATTCAGCTTTCTTTTAAGTGTTTCTGGATGAACACTTGCTCCAAATTTAGCAATTCTCTCAATGTCCTGAAAAATTGGTAAATCTCATATCAAATCAATGCAATGAACATGCCAAAATAACTAATATAAAGTGACTTTTTATTTAATTTATAAAAACAATACAGTACAGCAAAATTCATATTTCTATCAGATTCCAAAGATTATGGTACTCTGATATATGGTATAACAGTTTTATAAATCAATTTATATCAATGATGTACAAATTTATGCAAGTGATTAATAATGCATTGTAGAACAGAAGGATTAATATAATGAATTAAAACATAAATTTGCTTCATTGTATAATAAGTCATTCTGCTCCAAAATTATAAAATTGCATTTATTTTGCTAGTAGACACATTTTCATTAGTACACTACAATTATTACCTTAAGAGTGCATCCTTCATGCATCAACACCAATCCAGACAAGTACTGAACTAAGGACATTTCTTGGGATCTTCCATGCAGGATTTGTGACACAGAATACATGACATACTGAAATGGTTTCTCACTCACTTGTAATGGGATATCTGATACCATCGCTGATACTGTCTTTAAGACATTTGGTGCTCTTATTTTCAGCTCAGAATACATACTGTCCCATGTAAATTCTAAAACATTGCTGCTTGATTTATCTTGAAGAACACTACCAGAATTTCTCTTGCACATATTTTTGCATTCATCACCTGAGAAAGATGCAAATTAAAACTGTAAACAAGTATAATCTGATCATGATTTCATATATTAATTAGAATTTTTTATCTTGATCTAATCACATGGCAGAAAGTAGTACATATGCATTATAAACATAAGTCGTATTTATTAACAGACAAAATCAAACCAAACATGCTGAATTTCAACTTAATTAATATGAATATATACTCAAAGCCTTGATGTATCAAATTTGTTATTTCTGGTTATTTTATTTCCCAAGTGAGCAATGCAGACATGTTCACATCTTACCTAAAACTGATAATGACCCCTCAACTAATATGTTGGGGTTCGTAGTCTTTAAAAAGTCTTTCAGTCCTCGATCCACTTCTTTTCCTCTAAAAACAATCTTGCAGATCTTTTTCTCATTCTCATCAATTATGAAACGACTTTTTCGACCACTTGGATAGTATATGCTGAGCTGAAAGTAAATTAGAATATATGTCAAAACTCACAAATATTTCTTGAACATATTCATAAACTCATACTAATTCATTTTTTTACTTCTTTGATGTCAAACCATTTTCATTTCCGGTTGACAGTTTGTAATATCTTTCTGTCCATCTCAAATAGTCTGTTTTCCTTCCATTTGATAAAAATTAGTGATATAATCATGTAATAGGTTCAAATCTTTTTACATATACCTTAAATCACAGTTGAGTTTATTTACAAATCCAGGTCTGATTTCAAATCTGAAAAAAACAGCAACATGCACATGCAAAAATAAAAAGCAATAAAACTGGTGAACATAATATATCACATGCTAAATTTTACAACAACTAGTATCTACATGAACAATTGTATAATCAATGCAAAAAAGCAATAAAAACTAGTGAACTTAATATATTGCATACTAAATTTATACACCAACTTGTAACTACATGTTCAATTGTATAATCAATGTATAATTAATGGAAATCTAAAAATGCTGTGAATATATATAAGAGTCAACTGGTAAATTGGAAATAATCATGTTAAGTAAACATGTGTAACAATCAACAAGTTAGTAGTAACTTTAGAAACTTCATGAACAATTCTTTTTCTAAGTTAACCTCAATTGACCCATCTAATGATGTTGTATGAATGTCATCGAGTTCTTTATTTGAAATCCCAAAATCTAGAGATCGCTTAGATCCTTGTATTTTCATACTAGACGTACTAGATGTAATATTTAGGAAGAAAAATCCAAAGTCAGGTGACTTGCAGTAGTAAAAGAATTTTCTAACATATTTTATTTCTAATTGACATTTACAAAATACAAGATGTGATTGTATTCCATGGCAAAACAATGCTTAGTTATTATATGATTAATTCACCACACAGTGACAATTAATATGATTAAGTACATGAAGTATGTGAATAAAGAAAGGTGGCCAAATTTATTCATTCAAACTCATAGAATTCACACCCTCAAACTTTTTAAGCATACCTTGTTTCTCCTTTGGTGCAATAGGGATACCAGTAAATGAACTACTACTAGGTAGTTGATATGTAAGAGGCAGCTGTCAATTCAAAGTAAATATAATGTTAATATATTGTAGCTGAATTGCAAATTAGCAGAAATAACAAGTTTAATTGCTGTGGGTTTCTGATCAAAGTACAAACATCTTTTCAATATGAGTGAAAGTTCATTCTTCATATTTTAATTAAACACCTTTTAATTTACAGGACTGAAATAGCTACTGAAAAGAAAATATCAATCAGATTTTTATGGAAGATCAAGTACACCAGGGATAACCACATAATGACTTATGTAAGTTATGTTGTCATGTATGTCAAAATGTGTGTGTTTTTGTTTATGTTCAGTACTTGTTAATAGCATAAAAAACAATAGACATGCATTATTTCTTAATCCGAAATACTTTAGATTCGAACCCCTTTCTTACACTATCACAGAGGAATTTCGGATTAATTATTTTTTTTCTCTATCTATATACACTGTTCATATAATATAATATCGTGATCTATCATTACCTCTGTTTTCTGCAAATCTGTTCTATTTGTCAAATCTTTGAATGGTGATATTTGCACAAGCTTGCGGTAGGATACGTCGAAAGTCTGCTTTTTTGAAGATGGCAAGGACGGGCTCCTAAGCATCCGTTTAGTTATGGACTTTCTCCGAGGGGAAAGCAGCTGCATCGTGAGTGTTTGTATTGTTCTCTGTGCCACCTCGCGAAACCTCTGTTTTATTTGCTCATTTTTGGATTCGGTTTTCATTATAGATTCAACTGATCGATAACACTTTTTACACACACCTGCATTTATGACATCTGCAATGTCTGTCAGGCCTGTTAGTTGTTTTATGTTATCTTTTCTTTCGGTGTTTAGTCTTAACTTCGTTTCGAAAAACTTGTGAACTTTTTCCTCACCATTTTCCTTTCTTTCAATCTGTATAAACGAAAATCCGCAGAGGATACAAGTGTCCGATAAGACACATCATGTCTTCCGAGGTGTGGAAGTCGCCATGTTTACGTTTATCGGAATACATCGGGCATGTCTTCTATACTAACAGAAATGACAAAACTTCCGAAATTCCAGACATTGCAAATGAAGACGCGATTTGATTGGTCAATTAAAAGTTCACCAGAACATGACCTCTAATTGGGAGTTATCAGATCCTCTATGCGATAGCGTAAATAGAGGTCTGGCTTTAGTCAGATTGGTTGAAAATGATGTATATTCGCTCGGCAAGTCTCGCGAATATATACACTATTTCAACTCGTTGGATAAAGCCAATATCAAATCACACAATAAAGATAGCCTCTATGTCTACTACATTTAAGGCCATTATAAACTGAACGTACCCTTTCTCTAATCATTAAAAAAGAGTACATGTACGACATATGAGTTAAATGTGGTGTAAAATGTTCCGTTACATCTGTTCCTGTAACTGATAATTTCAGAGTTTCGTGCTCATTTGGTCATGATTTGTATTGTTTCATTGAATTTTTGAGCATGAAATACGTTTAATACTTTTATCTGTTTCAGATTGTGTTTCGAGTATTGAATTATGTTCTTCCTTCCTATGGAATCGTGTTTCTTTACAACATCTCCATAACGAAGGGACTCTGCAGTAAGTGTTAAAATACATGTTCTTAAATAAAGCAGAATGAAAATATAGAAAAAAAAAGAAAATGAGATGAATGGCAAAATATTTCTATTTATTTTTATTTTTAGGCATATCTTATATGTTCGCTTATTTTGTTATTATCCTTAATACAAAAACTTATTTCACAGCTGTAAAAGAAGATTTGGGCCGGGATTATATAATTTTTGCCCGTCAGTCCGTTCGTCTGATTGACTGTTTGTCAGTAAAAACGTTAACCTGGATTAAAGTTTTTCATTGGTTGAAGCTATCTCTTATTTGATATGTGCATTTCATATGACAAAACCTTTCTTTAAGTACAAATACGTACATGGTCTATAATGATAAGATTTATTAAAGCTAATTATGGTAGGAAATAATCAATTCAAGTTAAATTTTTATATTAAAAAAAATTATTGGAACCTGTATCAATCACAGAAAAAAAATTGAATAATTAATATGCCAAAAAATTGTGCTTAAATACTGTAAACGTATAACATTTGGCTGTGTATTCTTTTTAGCGGCTTTGGCGGAACGCAGCAATCGGAAAATCATCTACAACGCTAAATATCTTGCACATATACATGTACACATAATTAAAAAAAAGATTCTCACCAAGAAAAAAGATTTAATATGTAGGACTCCAAAGTGCGATGGGACTCCAAAGTCCGATGGTCACGCCAACCCCCGATGGTCTGCGCCAAACCCCGATGGTTTGACACGCCAAAGTCCGATGGTGCTGGAAAACGACACACGTTTGTGACGTCATCATACTATGGCGCCAAATTTCGGTGCTGAGTCATGAAATGGTACAATGAAATACGAAAAAAATTAATTATAATGAACAACGGTTGATCTAAAAAAAACAAATTGTTGAAAATAATACCAATATTTAATCTAGATCCATAATAATAATATTTATTCCAAGACCCTTAATTGTACATTTGCAATTTACAGCATGTTAGGACGTATTAGATATTTAGACAAAAGGTGAATTTTATAGTTCTCGCAGTCCTCCACAGTGTACACTTTTCCTTTGCTATCGTCCATGTCAACTTTAGTAACCCGTCCCTTCCTCCAGTAGCCCGATAGGAAAACGTTTGTACCAGCAGAGAGCACCGAATTCGGTTTAAAATCTACAATGTCATCTACTGCGGGATCAAACTTCTGCAGTGTTGCTACAGTCGCTAGTTTTTTAGGAAAGAGTTCCAGTGGATACAAGTCGTTGTTCCAGCGGTCAGAATTCTGTTGGATAAATTTTATAATCTTAAAATCATTTAATATGTCTTTCTCAATTGCTCTTCAATTTTCCAATTGTAAGAATTTGGTCTTACCTCTTTCATGGAGCACATAGAGTCTGAGTATCTTCTTTTATTGCTGACTGCGGGGTACTGGAATAGCCGGTTATACAAATCTTTGTAGTATGGACTTACACCGGACTGAAACAGTTTTAAAGTGCATCTTTAATATCATGTAAAAATTATTCACAATAACAACAAAAAAGATTGCAATTGAAATGAATCCCTTACTCAATATTTTTACCCCATATGAGAGTTGCATGTTATTACCTGCATTTGTTGAACGTTGCGTATAACTTGAGAGTTTGTTACATCTTGCAGTGGTTTAGTGCTTTCACGGGGCAGGGGAGACAAATCCAGCGGGAGCTTATCCAGATCTCCAGTAGTGACCTGTTTTAAAAAAAATAATTTTATTTAACTCCACAATTTTAATATTAGAAATGGTCAAAAAGGCGGCAAATGGTCCTAACGTCATATTAAAAAATTAATTTAAACTCCACATTTCTCATTATACTATATAGAAATGTTTAAAATCGGACCGTTGCCATATATCATCATTCGTTGACAAAGTAATCTACATTCCTCATTAATCAACACAAAAAAATTATAAATGAAGGAACCGGAAGGGGGGGGGGTCCTACCGTTGCTTCATCATCACTTGTTGACGTGATTGGCAGTTGTGTTGAAATGATATTTTGGTTGGCATGGTTTGACTAAAAAAAGGCACAGATAAATAGACGATTAGTTAAGTTACATGTATTTGCTCAATTAATTCTGCCGTAGTTTAAACAGGATAAATAAACCAATTTTTTTTTTAAATTATCGTCATTATCGATTAGTTAATTTATTTTCAGCCAATGATTATTGTTTTCGCACATTTAAAAATTAATTATGTAGCACCTCTGAATCTGTGATATTGCTGTCAATTTCATTGTCCTTTTTGTCATTACTTTGTTCATCTGCGTCATCCTCATCGACATCAAGGTGAGCTTTTTCCAGAAATTCTCTCTCCTCTCTTGTTAAGTTGCACATCGATATCTAAAATTTATGATTATTGACATTTTAAAATCTATGAGAATTAAAAAGGTTACATTCCATATCAACCCTGTACGGTAAATGTAGATGTCATTTATCCTTTAATCACTTGAAACTGATTGTTTTTATTTAACTGATCCTCAGATTCACAAGATCTCTGCGCTCAATGAGTAATATAAAAAAGACTAATTACGGTTAGTAGCTCTCATTTTATCGGGGGACTTAAAGGGTTTAAGTTAACCCTCGCATTTCAGCCGAAATGTTGAGGATATTCTTTGTAGAAAAAACTGAGATATACGGATTATTAATCGCAGACTATACCACAAATTTGACCCCTCCCCCTCCCCCTTTCTATGTAATAAGGGTTAGTCCTTGTGCCCCATTAGACTGACTAAGGTTAGTCCTTGTGCCCCATTAGACTGACTAGGGTTAGTTCTTGTGCCCCATTAGACTGATTAGGGTTAGTTCTTGTGCCCCATTAGACTGACTAGGGTTAGTTCTTGTGCCCCATTAGACTGATAAGGGTTAGTTCTTGTGCCCCATTAGACTGATTAGGGTTAGTTCTTGTGCCCCATTAGACTGATTAGGGTTAGTTCTTGTGCCCCATTAGACTGATTAGGGTTAGTTCTTGTGCCCCATTAGACTGATTAGGGTTAGTTCTTGTGCCCCATTAGACTGATTAAGGTTAGTCCTTGAGCCCCATTAGACTGATTAGGGTTAGTTCTTGCACTTTATATGACTAATTAGGGTTAGGTCTTGCACTTTATTTGAATAGTAAATGGATTAATTCTTGCGCCCCATTAGACTGATTAGGGCTAGTCCTTGCACTCTATTTGACTAATTAGGTTTAGTCTTTGTGTCCCATTAGACTGTGCTCTTTTTGACTGATTAGGGCTAGTCCTTGCACTCTATTTGACTAATTAGGTTTAGTCTTTCTGTCCCATTAGACTGCGCTCTTTTTGACTGATTAGGGTTAGACCTTGCACCGTCTCTATTTGACTTATATGAAATGTGTTCATAGCTTTTTCTATACAACGATGAGAATATTTTTACCTGTTCTTCTACTACGACAGAGAAGTTTGGTCTTTTGAAGAACATCTGATGTGGTGTCATGGGCTTTGTAGACTTGTGAACGCGGTTGTTGTACTTATAATAAAACTCCTCCAGGTTACGTGGCCAGTCTCTGGTGTCGACAAATTGGGTCCGGAAGTATGCCACCACGGTTCTATTAAACCTTTCGACTCGACCTGTAAAATTTATTTGCTCTTGCTCACACTACACTCGGCATTTTTAATTTACTTTTCCATATTAACACCCCTTGTACATGTATAAACGCAATTTTGATTTATTAGAAATGAAATTTTAGATCTAGAAATTTTGATTACCTTGATATGTTTACAACTATAGTACATCTAAAAACTATTATACTTTTTAACTCAGTATAAGGAATTTAGCAATTTTGCAATACAGCGAGATAAAAAAAAAATACCTTGGGACTGGGGATGGTAAGGTCTACCATGAACATGCCTTGTCTTAAATTCATCCATTACGGCCGATAAATCAGCGTTATTAAATTCTTACCCGTTTTCGGTTTGTAGAATTCTGGGAGGCCCGAATAAGTAGATAAACCGCAGAAGAACGTCTGAGACTTCTTTCGCTGTTTTCTGCTTTAAGCAGGTTCCAAAAGCAAACCTGCTGTAACAGTCTACAATGTTACAAATGTAATTGAATCCTCTGCATGGTGGCATTTTCTTTAGGTCCATTTGCCATCTGCTGTTAGGGTATGATGCCGGAATGGGACGTCTCGTCCTCTCCGTTTTCGGCAGATCAACTGCTGCGAGACACTTGCTACATTCTACATGCTGTTTGAAGAGAAGTCGGACATTTTCCCGAGTGACAGGAAAGAACGTTTTCCTGATTGTCTCGTAGATGGCATCACTTTTTCTGTGATCCACATTGTGATTTCTTTGAATCTCAACGATCAGCTGATCCTTGGATAGAACTCTTCTATGTACCTCGCTTACTTTCGAGCTCCTATAGAAGGTTGAATCGGTGTCAATGTCGTATATAAAATTTGACACATATTTCCGTACACTTGTTTCCCCCATTGAAATACCTAGCTCCTCCTTAATTCTCTTTGCTCCCCATGCGGAATTTTCTGCCTTTAACTTACATATTTTCTCGACATCTTTCATAACGGACCAAAACTGCTCCGGACTTGGGTCATTTGTCTCCCGCTTCTTCTTAACTTTTTCAAAGATATATCCGTCATCTGGACAAACTGCCGCATCCATGTTTTTCTTTGGGTTTTGAAAATTAGAAGATTAACGTCAGAATACTATGACGTCATAAACGTTAACAGCTATTCCCGCACCATCGGACTTTGGCGTGTCAGACCATCGCACTTTAGCGTCGCGCGTCTCATAGGAAACCAACCATCGGACTTTGGCGTGACCATCGGACTTTGGCGTCCGTAAGGACCGCGTGCCATCGGGGTTTGGCGCAGACCATCGGGGTTTGGCGAGACCATCGGACTTTGGCGTCACCATCGGACCTTGGAGTCTTACAAATATATATTGTCTTTACATGTGATGATAATGAGGTCGAAGTGGAAGTAGGCCTGAAAAACAATATTGAATTCTTTATTTAACTTTTTTTAGCTGTGACAAAATTTCATTATTAAATTGTGATTAAAATTCAAATGTCTTTTTCTGTAAACCAATCTCTTGCAGTTGGTTCTGATATCTACATGTACCTCTAAAAAACAAAATATTACTTGACTGTTTATATTTAATATAATATACAGTATACATATAATATACCTAAAAACGTCAATTATACTGTTGAGTTAAAATAAAAAGTAAAGTAAAACAAAATAATTGCCTACCTACCTACCCTAATTTTGAGGGACATGTTACCGGAAACACACATTTTTGGGCCTAATTTATTGCTAAAATTTGATTTGTTGAACGACAAATTGAATATTTTGCTAGTCAACTACATTGAATAAACAGCTATAATTAATTTATTTCCAAATATTTCGTGAGGTTCGCAGCACTTTTCAAATTACTCTATGCTTCTTGAGCTTATTATGTATGAAAAACTTGGCAAGATACATTGAGGGTATGCCTTTGCAATAAATCGATTTATTAGGGTCCCTTTACTACTTTTTCAATGAATCTGCATACAAACACAAGGCAGTATCAATTGTCTGGAAAAAATACGGACATTTAATAGATAAAATAGTAAAAAAAGACATTACATCTAAGTTAACGGCCTTTTATATAACTGCAAATAATATTTCATTTGAAAACAGCTAGAAGCCATTTTTCATTGTACAAAATGTGACTTGATCAGCCTCTCGCTGTGCACAAACTGCGTCATTATTGCGAGATGACGTCACATTGACAAGTACATTGCGATCGCTGAATAGTTTAAATATTGTTGTATGGGATTTAACAAAACGCTGCATTTATATCCAACACTTTGAAATCAAATAATTTCATTTTATGGTACATATTATGTGTGACGTGAAAGTAAACATTTCCCGTATTAATTAGGGCCCTCCTCTTTACGGTACATGTATAACCTTAACTGTGCTGCGCGGGACTGCTCTGGAACTGCTTTGTGTCAGTTTGGGTCTGGTCGGTACTGTATAAATTGACTTTTTGACCTTTTCCTCGGAGTTATACCCAGATTTGTAAAATATTTCCCAAATTTAACTAAAACGTTTTGCCAGTTAAAACAAGAGATTTATTTTCACAGTTCATATATTTTTTTTTATCAGACCTTACTTTAGATATCAACATTATTTATGATTTTGTCCTTGAACTTGGAGTTTGACTTTTGATTGAGATCTATTCACTTTGGCAAAACATTTTGAACAGTTGATGCTAGGGTTTCTACATTTCGCATATCTGATTCTAATGACAATGTCACCCCTATATACATACTATTATTTTTTAACTTTGTTTTTGGAATTTGTCCTATGTTTTGAACACAATGATTTTGACCATAACTTTTGAATTTTTAGCGCTATGGATTTCAAATTTATATAAGATAGGTCTATTGACACTTTTTTAAAATTCTGACCTTGGGGGTTTTCTATAAGAAACTTTAACCTTCACTAAAGCTTCGGTGTTGTGTAAAAAATTTCTTGTTTTTAGATAGAAAATCTTTCTTTCCAAATTAATGAATAGTATGAATAAATTACTTTCGTTGAAAAATTCTCTTTTAAATTTTATATCCTCATAATGCATGGTCATGTGTGCATGTCCTTTTTCTAACTATCATTGTGAAAATAACAAGCCTTGTTCTACGTTCCCAAAATCATTTTGAGGAAACGCTTAGCTAACACTAAGCAAAAGATAAACACAATTTAGGGAACAGTTTGTAAACGGTGATTGAATGGAGAACGTGAAAGGAGAGCATACGCGTGCGCAAAGTGAACGGTAACGCAAAATAGGCGATTGATTCGGAATGGCTCTGATTGTCCTGAGATAAATGAAACATGAAAATTCAGTACGCGTATTACTTATGCTTCTCACAATGTTTCGGTTCTTGAATATAATTTGATTTTATTATGTTGTTTGGCAACGTACACAGTCTACGATTTATCAATGCAAAATATGTAACAAAAAACCCAGAACTATGTAGTTAAAAAAGTCAAATTATTCCTTCTGTTAATAAGGTATGTTTCTTCCTATCTGGGCTATAAACCGATTACAAATAGTTTATTTATTAGAAGAGACGACCGACGTCTGAAATTAATAACAAACATACGATGTACAGTTTTGATCAAAAAGATTAAAAAGTCCAAAATTTCAGTAAGTCATAATCTTATGATTAGAGGCATTCCATGACGATTGCTGATAATTAAAGTCGGGAGAGGCCAGGTAGACATTATTTTATTTCATTCGCCATGCGCTTGCAATTGGCACTTGAAGTAAAAATTCTAGATCATTCGGACGAGAACTTAAAAACAGAGATCCCATGTCACGAGAGGTGTTGGCACGATAAAGATCCCTCCATGACTCTGAAAATAAAATGTGAAAAGTGAATGAATTTAATTTTGTAACATAAAACGATCAGAAACAAGTTCTTACAAATTACAAGATCTTCTCTTGTATTTGTAGAGTTCATACAGTTAGTACGATTGTCAAGAAACATAAAAATGTGACTATTCTTTTATAAGATTTGTCAATGCTTTTAGGTAGCTGTGGTCAAAACGAATTTCGCTGTCACATAAATCGTGCTGAATGTGTTCCATTATCAAAAGTTTGCGATCTTCAACCAGACTGTCTGAACGGCGAGGACGAAAAAGAGTGTGGTATAGTTCCATATAACATTTAAACTTTATGAAGATTACTAATATTTTGAAGACATAATTACATGTAAGTTTTAATAAAATGAAAAAAATATTTTTATACACCTATTATGAACATTTTTTTTTTATTTTAAAAAAGTAAGTGTTATACCAATTTAATTCAAAAGAAAAAAAACTGATTTTATTTTATGTTAGATATGTTTTTATTTTTTGAATTCAGATTTGATTGACTTGTGGTCACACTGTTCAGAAAACTTATTCAGTACATCTGGCCTTATTAAAGGTCAACAAGAGAACAGTTCGGATGGGAACAACACATTGCCTGTTTTGCAGTTGTCTAGACTAAATATCTGTTATGATGGAGACCAATGTCAATATGACCCTTCATACTCATGTTCCCTTCGATGCCCAATTAACTGTACTTGTTCTGGTCTCTCTTTCATTTGCTCCTCAGAAAACGCACCGTATTTTGCAACCTCTATTACTTTTACTGGTCTTGAGCAAAGGGCCTTGGTGATTAGTGGATATTATGTCAATTTAAAAGAATTAAGAGTTGTTCACTGTAAATTACAGTATCTAAACATCACTTCCACGTCATTGATAGAAACATTATTCATTAGTCACAGTTCGATTGGTTTTTCTTTAACTAATGATGAAAAAAATAAACTTCGATTTGTACGTATTTTTAAGAGTACGTTTGACACAATGAGGTTCATCCGCGAAGAAGATCATACCTTTAATTTCTACGTTCGAAAGAGCAAAGTAAAATCGACAAATAAGAAAGACATCTATCGCTTGGGTGGCTTACATGTAGATGTGGACATTTCCGAGAGTGAAGGTTTTCCTTTTATTATAGGATCAATTCTTAATAATCCTGTAGTTAATTTTAGTTCCTGCAATTTAAATATCCAACCTGATTCCTACATAGAAACAGTAAATCTTGATCTTAGTCATAATTTTCTAACAAAGTGGCATATGACATCCATAGTTCAAATTGTGCATCTCCAAGGAAATTTACTTGAATCTATTAATTGTACATTTGATTTTAAGCGATCTGAATCTTATTTACAATACCTGGATCTCTCGTTTAATTATCTTTCAGAAATAAAGGAAGACGATTTCATAGATTTTCCCAATATTTTATACTTAAAACTTCGGAATAATCGTATTAGTGATATTCATGAAAATGCTTTTTCGGTCATTTCAAAAATCATTTATCTAGATTTGTCAAATAATAATCTTCGTTTACTGACACAGAAACATTTTCTTATTCTATCAAGTTTACAATATCTGTATTTACACAAAAACAAAATAAAAATTTTAGACGGAATGTTTGACGGCCTGTTAGGTATTCAGTATCTTCAAGTGGAATCATTCACGCTTTGTTGTGCTAAACCAAAGACTGAGCACAAAAGTGTTTGTTCAGCCCCAGTAAATGAGATATCTTCTTGCTCTAATTTGATTGACACCCCACTTCTCAGAATCATTATTTGGTACATGGCCCTTTTTTCTGTATTTGGAAACTTATTCGGACTACTTTATAGGTTCCTTGTTTTGCAGAAAAAGAAAATAACATCATTTGATATTTATTCTATGAACCTTGGATTAGCAGACTTTTTAATGGGAGTGTATCTCTATATAATAGCTATTGCTGATTTAATATTCAATGGCCAATATGCTTTTGAAGACGAATCATGGAGGCATACACCTCAGTGTACTTTTGCTGGTGTTTTGGCAACAACTTCTAGCGAGGCATCTGCTCTTTTTGTTCTAATCATTACAATAGATCGTATCTTAGTCATTCGATTTCCGTTTTCAATATTAGAAAAAAATCGACTTACTGCAAAAGTTGTTTCCCTTCTAGTTTGGACAGTTTCTCTTTTGTTATCCCTTCTGCCTTTGTTTGGAAATCAGTACTTTGACGACTATTATTCTAGTTCTGGTATTTGTATTTCTTTACCTCTATCCGTTCTACGTAAACCTGGATGGGAATACTCAATGGTGATCTTCGTCGGAGCGAATTTCATCATTTTCATTGCTATACTAGTGGGACAATTCATCATTTTCATTGATGTTGTTCGAATGAGAAAACGGGTGAACTTAAAATGCACTTCACAAAAGAAGAGAGAAATCAGTTTGGCTAAAACCCTTATAATGGTGGCAGTTACAGATATGCTGTGCTGGATCCCTATCGGAGTAATTGGTAAGTATGCTACTCATTTGGCAACTAGAAGAAACATGTCCTTAGAGAAAAATTGAATTTCATTTTAAGCAGATAGAGAATTAATTGTTTATGGATATATAATGATTATATGTTTGGAAATTGGCATTTTTGACTTGTAGGTTTTCTGACGTTTGTTGGTATTGATGTCACAACTAAAGCGTATGCCTGGGTCATAGTCGTGGTTCTTCCTATTAATTCAGCGCTCAATCCAATAATCTACACTTTTTCAGCAATCTTGAGACACAGGTTCCAGAAGGTTTGATATATTTTGTAATATACAAATATAATGTCCATGTATGAGGGTTGTCTCAAAATGGCAAATATAGGGAAAATAACTTTCTGTTTACTTTGCTTAGATAAATTTCTTTTCTTGTCATAGTCAAATACATGTTACGATCATGAATTAAAGTTTCATAATAAAGACGAATTTAATAAGAAAATGCTGTAAAAATGTTGAAATCATATACGCGTACACCACAAGCGTTATTTACGTGTCTTATAACGTCATGATCATTTTAAACTACTGCCTTTGTTTAGAACGCGACTAGTAAGCATCTCATTGATTTTACTGATAATGGTTGTTAATGTTTATTTCTCATATGTATATTTTTTCCCAAAAGGTCGCCTTAGATTGCAGGAAACAGAAAATACTCAAAGTTTGTCGTCGGTCTTGATCCATAATATTCCTCGCAGTCTATATATATTTAACGAGCAGTACATCACTTTTTTTAAGGGTACATATTTTATACGGATGTGAAAATGTCCTCATGCCATTTATAAACATTTTCTCCGCTGTTTTATAGTGTATTGTCATTTTTTTTTTAAATTTCGACTCTGCAATAGACAAATTACGATTAAAACAAATTCATTTCGTTTCTATGCGCCGCCTTTGCGTCTGACGACGTTATTTATGGCAAACTCGATTCGAACTACACTTTGAAAATTGCGACACCAATCCTTTATTTTTGACGCAATATATCTGAAAATAAGATATATTACAGATATTTGTTTGTTGTTTTAATATATATAATAATTATGATAATATATATATTAATTTAATATTATTTTGAGCTGTATGGCTTTGTATTTTACAACTACCAGAGAAAGAAATGCAATAGGCATAACAACTGTCGTTAATTATTCCGGAATTGGTTTATGCGCCGACAAACCATATCGGCTTTCCTTTAAATCGAATGAATATTAGTATGAAAGGTAAAAAATCCCTATTTTAAGGATCATTGCAATACGTATTAAATTGCAAAATTTAGTAACTCTTGGTTGCATGTTCAAAAAGTTATACATATCGTCTAGACTTTTTGACAACCCTCGTATACATACATATTTACATATTAAAATGAATACTTAACTTGTTGCTATTACAAACAAAAAGGACTTCCTTTATTTAATGCATTTATATTTCTATTTTTAAAAAAATCTCAAAATATGATATATTTATATTGTATTAAATTGACTTGATTTTTTTTAACTGAAAAAAATATTTCTTTATAGCAATACATATCAAAGTGAAATCATTTATGATAAACTAATGTCTATTTATTTGTGTATAAATGCAGGCAGGACAAACAAATGGTCATAATTCAAAGCAGAAGATGGACTCCCAGAGTACTGTGAAGGAACAAAGCGTTCAAACAACATGAACATATCTAAGTAAATAAATAAGTCAAATGACTTAAAATAATTTAATTTAAGCTGAAATCTTCCCTGAAGATATTGATTCGCATTGCACCATTTTAATCTATACACAAGACAGAATTGTTAAACTCCACTAAACAATACCAAACAATAATGTTTGGCTTTTCAGACAGTTACTTTCTTATTATGTTTTGATATAATTATTATGCAGTATGAATAAGGTACAGGAAAATCGGACTTTCTTATGTGTTAACTGGGAAATAATAACAATGTTTACTGTAACTTAACAATTTTTAAGGAAAAATGAATTGACGTCCATGTTGTAAAATATCAAATAATAAAATAAGTTTCTATATTTTCCTTTGTGTTGCTGTTTTATTTTGCTTATAAGAAAAAAAAAATACATTATTTGCGTCGGCTAACCCTAGAAAAATAGTTATAAGCTTGACTTTATGGAGATTACAAGGGTTTAGTTTGGGAAAATTTGTAGAAAATAAAAGAAAATAAATTAAATCATATATCTAGTAACATTTTCGTGCATATTGATGAGCAATGTTAAAAAATCTAGATATAGTCAAAGGAAAAAAAAATCACACGAGAATTTTAAAATTAAAAACAAAATTTGGGAGAGCTGAAATTTTGTTGGACTGAGTTTTGACCAAATGAAGAATATCTAGTTGATAAATAGATACATATAATCGCTGTATGCATTTGATTTTTTACAGGGAGACTGTTTTAATTCCGACATCATGAATGAGCAGTTCATACAAACACGATCTTCAATTACGTGCACAGTGCACATTAAGACAGATTAATATAAGCAGATCACACTATTTTTTTTTATTATTCCATCTCTACGGATTTTTCACCATAAATATTGTATGACTAAATCTACATGTATATATCGGACGATTCCCTGAAAATCATCGTTAAAAGTCTGATACCCTGCAAAATGATGAGTCAGTTGGACGATGTGATACACACCTTATCAGAACACTTCGCAATATATTTCGTTCATGCAAAAAGAACGAATATAATATATATGTATTATATCTCTTTTAATAGCATAATCAGAATAATATAAAATTTCATGAGAAACAAGAATAAATCATTCAAATTAAATATAAGTGATAAAGCCAAAAATTACACACATACATTTCATAAAATATTTTATAAAGTAAAAACTTTCTTAAAGTATTTTCATAAAACATATTTTTACCCTTTAGCTTATATATAGATACGCAAAAAGTAAACAGCATAATATTTCCGACGTTAAAGTACATCGACATAATTTTTAAAAATAAATGTTGATTTATCAATAACATTGATAACAATACACTGCTCAACGATGCTATGTCCCCGTGTGGTTTAATACTCTCCTAAAGGTAAAAACTAAAATTATTTCACTTTGCGGAAATGTTTTTTGTGAATTTTAATATTATTTGATAGATACTTCCCGGAAAATTTAGGCCTGGTCTCTTTTTCCGGCCTTAACTGTTCTGGAGACAAAATACAACAACACAGCTATTGACACATGGAATTTAATCCCACGAACTCCTTAATATCTCTCAAAAAATGTCACAGATGTTCTATAAAAGTTTTTGAAAGCATTACACAA